TCAACATATGTTGGCACATTTTTAAATGTATTTGTGTCAGGGCGTAGTCGTGACTGCAGTAAATTCCTGGTAACAAAACACCCAAAGACCCAAACACCCCAAAAGCAAATGTAGCAGCAACTGAAATGCGCATTTCAACATTTTCAGGCAGCCGAGCAGCCGAGCAGCGAGCAGTGCATGTCTGCAATTTTTTAAGTAAACATTTTATTTGCTACAGTTCTCAAAATGCAGTCAAGAAAGAAGCGAGCAGCGGCTGCAGCAGCAAGAAGCAAGCAGCGAGCAGCATGTGCGGGGCAACTCGAGACAACTGCACAATCCACATCAAAAGAGCAACTTCTTTGCCATTTTGCTTTTATTTCCGTTGCCGTTCTCCTTGTTGACATACGTAGCTGTTGACATTTTGATACAAATCTTCAATAAAATAAAAGCAACTCAAGTGGCCACTGCAACTGCAACTGCAACAACAACAACAACAACAACAACAACAACAAATAAGAGAAATAGATAAAATAAACAAAACAATAGCTGTTGTTGCCTTGCGAATGCTGCATAGTGGCATTATCCCAACTTAAAACTAACTTATGGTCCGGTATTCCACTTGAGCCAGTTATGTGTGATCAATATTATTAATATTTATTTAATATTAATTATATTATGTAATAATTAACCATGTATATTTGATTAAATATCTTTTTGTATTGATTTATTTGTTAATGTTTCATTTTTCTGGGAATTCTTCAGCATACCATATATAAAATATGTAGTATTTACAGACATTCCATAAGATACTGATTAATATTTTCAAATCAATATCCGTTTAAAAATCCATATACATCTTTTCCGTATAATTCTTTTCTTGTATTTTTACCATGTTTATTTAAAATAAGTATTTATTGTGAAATTAATGTTTACAAGAAAACTAATGCGATGTATTCGACTGAATTGAAGGTATTTATTATTGAAATCTAATATCAGGATTGTGTTTACAATTATCAATCTTTTTTTTTTCAAGCAATAAGAAATTATAGAATAATTTCGAGCTACGTAATTATATATTCAACTTATAGAATTTTTTCGAAAAGAATAATTTTTAATTTGAGTTTATAACTATTAAAATACTAGATAATATTAAAAAACTGGCACTTGTGCAGCACTTTCTTGAATGTATTTGTATTAGATACTGTTCCGAGCACACCCGTTTTTAAATATTTTATATTTATACTTTCGCTTACATGTAATCCATACACAATTTGGCTGTCTTTCATACCACTGTTGGATAGATATATATAACATTCCACCTCGAAATGCTCGAGACTCGCTTTCAATTTATGTATTTCTATTGTTTACCCGACTAAATATTTAGGTACTCTCTTAATTGCAAAAGATTCTATTATTTCTAGACATTCTTTGCCATCATTTAACTTTACATTATTCCATTTGCAATGCTTTGCCCAATCTATTTAAAACTGTAACACACTTCCATGTTTCATTTGATTTAATTATGCATATCTTTTTCCGTCATCACATTTGCGAGATATTTGAACATCTAATCAACATTGTCTGAAACTCCAAACCATATATAACTCTACTTGAAAGTCGATTTTTATTTACACATCAACAGCAACAAAAAAAAACGCGTTACTTTAGTTAAATATAAATTGTGCGATATGCAATACTAGACTCTCTGTGGCAAGTGGAGCTAACATTATTTTACATAAAGCATACGCCATGTTGCACACGAGAGAGAGAGTGAGAGAGTGAGAGAGAGAGACGGAGGGAGAAGCTGGGAAGCTCTATGCAGTTCGTAGCTAATCAAATTCCCCAGCAAAAGACAAACATTGAAATAAATGTCTTAAGACAAAAAACACACACTGCCTGATGGAATGCCAAGCACCACACTCTCTCTCTTTCTCTCTCTCTGTCTCTCTGTCTCACCCCCTTCAAGAAACTTGACACGTTGCTTGCGACTGTCAGGGGGGTGGAGGGAGATACTATTTGTTGCTTGTGTGTCTTTGGGTATGCTGATATATTAAATGTACTGTTTCCACTTCGACTTTGAGCAGGTTACATCAAATCAACACAAACACAAATTCAATTACTCAACAGAAATAGGAACAGCAACAGCAACAGCAACTGGCACACGCGGCGTATGAGTGACATTAATGCGATTTTCGCAACTGTCAATCATTTTTCATTGGCATCGCCTAAAAATATGTGGGCGCTGCATTCGTGTTATTTTTCGTGCCTTGTATGTGGGTCGCTGTTTGATGTCTGCTTTGTCACAATTTGCAATTAAATCGATTGCTCGTTAATCTACAAATAAAAAAAGAACTGTGTTCTCCTCTCCTCTCATAGTTGGGTATTTTGAAAAACGTTATTGCCTTTGAAGTTTTACCACATAAATTTCGAAAATGAAAAAGGCAATTCTATTCTTCTCGAAAGCAATAATTTGTTTTATTTCGCCTTTTTTATTTTATTTCATTTAAAAATTGTTGTTGTTTTCATTCGTATAGTTGCAAGGTATTTTTCAAAATATCCTACGTAAAATTGGTGAATTTTTTCCTTTCCTAAAGATTGATAAATCTCAAAAAAAATGTATAATTCAGTCTATTATTCCCTTGTAAAACTAGCAAGAATAGAGCTGAGATTAAAAAATTTTTATTTAAGTAGCCAAGCTATTCTCAGTCTAGATCCCAATTATTTTCGACGTGAAATTGGTGAAATTGCGACGATATTGTTTTGGACACAAATTCGTTACCTTTGTGCAGTGCGTGAGCTAATAAATAAATAACATGCTGGCACATTCATTAAGGCCACCTCTAAACAAAAACGAAAAAAAGAAAGGGAAAAGAGTAAAAGAAAAACAACAAGAGGCGAATTGAACGTAACAATGTGGAACGCCTGTCGGCAGATTAAAAATACAATTTACGGCAAATCAATTGCGGCTAACATGGCGACGACAGCAAAAGAAAATTAAAATGGCCAAGAGAGCGAAGGTACAGACAGAGAGAGAGTGAGATAGCAGGGAGAGATATAGAGAGGAGGGAGGAAGGAGGAACAACAGCAGCTCGAGCAAAAAATTAAAAGCAAACAAAGTTGGCAGACAAAAACCGTATCCCAAAAGCCACCCCCCTGCGGATGAGAAAAGAAAGACTGTGAAATGTGAGAGGGCAAGATAACAACAACAGATGTTCGCATAAATTTGTGTGCATAATAAACAATTTACGATTCCGATACCAATACCAATACCAATACCAATACCGATACCGATTCCGATTTCGATTCCAATTCCGATTCCGATTGTGATTTCAATATTTTAGTGCTGCCGCTCCTCGCGCGGTGCCGTACGCTCCGCCTGCAGCTGAAACAAGCGTATGGCACGCAACCGATCCTCGCGCCTCAGCTGACAAAAGTACACCATGCCCCTTACATAGTTGGACAGCTCGCGCGCACATGCCAGCAGGCACTCATCTGCCTCCGGCCGGGGCAGCTGCCAGAGCAGCTGCACCAGAAATTCGCGCCACTGTGCCGGCGCCAGGGTGAACAGCAGCAGCGCCGACGGCAGCAGCGTTAGCATTCCGAGCGTAAAGTAGCCGCACCAGCGGCAGTTCGGGCAGAGCAGATGGCTCAGCTGGTGGACGAGGCGCTCGTAGCTGCACCAGCCAATCAGTATGGCCAGCTCCGAGATGAAGACGGTGCCCAGCAGCTCCACACAGATGTGGATGCGCGGATAGAGGCTCGTGTAGCGCTTCGGCAGCATCTCGCATCTCCACAGCAACAGCAGCAGAGTCAGCACGAACAGCCACTTGGCCAGCATCGGCGCCGGCGAGCACTGATCCTGCGGCTGGCGTATGAACAGCGTGATGCCACACATTTGCAGCAGCGTCGCGGCCACAATTGAGGGCGGGGAAACCATCTCCGTGGAATCTATCGTTAAATTGTATACTTTTCACGTTTTGCGTTGCCTTCTTCTAATTTCGAATTTAGCTAGGTTTTCGAATTCATTCCAAAAGTGTTTCGGGTCAAAAAAAAAACCGAAAACAAGCGCCTGCTACACGCAGCCCCGCCTCCCAGCCTTCTCAGCCTCCTCAGCTGGCTGCTTGAAGTGCAAATGGGAAATAAATAAATGCAAAGTATCTGGAAAATCGCATTAACTTCGTCTGCGCTTGCTTTCGTCCTTGTCCGCTTTCGCATTATTATTGCGCCAAATCTAATCAGGTGTTAGTCTACACACACACACACACACCCTGTCACATCGCACATTGCTTCAACGCCTTTGTAGCAGCCGCAGTCGCATATTTTTTTTGGGCTCAGTTTCATGCTTCACTGACTTGCACATGCCCTCACAATCACACACACACACACACACACACACACACACACACACACACACACACACACACACACACACACACACACACACACACACACACACACACACACACACACACACACACACACACACACACACACACACACACACACACACACACACACACACACACGCGCCCACACACACTCTCGAAATTTACGGAGCTCAGCTTGAAGCTAACGGTTGCCTTTTAAACACGTCATAAGCCTGTGCGGCACAGCAATTGCTTGGCCTTAACATTTATAGCCTACTTTTGAGGGCAGCCAGAAATACGAATAGTTTGTGGGCTGGAATTATATGGAATTTAAGAAAGTATGTGGAACATCGGAAAGCGTAGACGGCAAGCTGAAACGATTGCGGTATAAATAAATATAAATTTAAATATAATCATAAATATAAATAAAAATAAATATAAATATATAAATATAGATTAAGACTTATATAAATATAAAATCTCTAGTAGCGTTAAGTAATATTCGATATATATATATGTATTTCCCTGTGCCTAATTTAATGTTAAATCTATCATATTTGGATATATTACGGAGAAAATATGGCAAGGGAACGCTGATACTTTTATTTAACGAAATAAATTATATTTATATTTATTTATTATATTTATTTTCAGCCGTCAAGATGAGATTGGAAAGTCTTGTAATAGGCATGTGGCCAAATATCACCAAATGGATGCGCAACCCTCAACGTCGGGGCCTGCTACTGCGAATTTCAAATTCGAACATAAAAGTGGGTAGACCTTTTAATAATTGCTTTGAATTTAAATAGAAAATTTCTTATATAAACCATGAAACAGATAGTGTTGATATTTTTAAAAATTAGTTACACAAATAGAAAATTGTTTATAAACGATCTCACATTTAATCCCATCATTATGCAGAGCATTAAAATGTCGCAATTCGGAAAACTCCCATTTAGTTTTGCCTGCTGTTCGTTTTTGGTGATTTTATGTCCAGAATGTGTGACTGAGCTTGTGGCTTTTGATTTTCATTGGCCTCATAAATAATTTGCAGCACACAAACTTGTGCTTGTCGAAATTTTAGTGCATACTTTCAGGCGCTTAGTGAGCAATCAAACAATTTTATGGCCCATATAAAGCTAAAGAGGCGGAGAGAAGCGAGACCTTTGCAAAATATGAAAAATTTAAGCGGGCGGCACTTTAAATTAACATAAACTTAACATTGAGGCTGGAAAGTCAGGTCGGGCCACGCCCTAATTAGGGGATCGACCAAGTCAATGACAAAACTTTTTGGCAAGCAATAAAAATCAACATTATTATGTTAATTGGGTAGGGGTTCGGCGTACAGGTGACTCCCTGCGGCGTTTCAGGTGCGCAGCAGCGGCAGCGGCAGCTGCTTCACAGATTTTAATCACTAAATTAGTTTACAAAAATAAAAAAAAAATGTGCCGCGAAAAGCGCCTAAAAGCATGTGGCCTTTATTTGTCTTACGGTTACGGTTTTTCCGCTGAGCACAAAAAAAAGGTACACAAAGCTTTTGTTAACTGCGTAAACTTTGCGCGCTCCCCCCTCAAAATAATAAGTAAACATTATTTATTTTAAAAGAAGAAAAGCCGTTGCATAGCTTCCGGCACACCATAGCGCGCTGTAACAATGCAAGGGCTGTGGAAGAGGGGAGGGGCGAGGGCTGAGAAGGGCCGAAACGTCAAAGTAATTAAACAAAAGTAATTAAGATTAGCGCGCTTGGAGTAGCTGCAAGTCATCAACGCAGCTCCAGCCACTGGTCCGCGCTCGTCCATTATCATCATTATCATTATCATAGTGGAGCTGAAAAGAGGAGGAAAGGTATCTGGAACGGGAACGGTAGCGGTAACGGTGAGGTAACAGTGAGGTAACGGCAGCAATATGAGTAAAAGGGCTGCCAACTTTGACGTCATTATAGCTGGCATACCTGCAAGTCAAATACACTTAGCCCCTCGTTATGGTCGCTACTTAAGCTCTTGTTGTTGCGCTAATACCCTGTAAAGATGGGAAATGAGAAAATACGGCATGAATAAATTGTGCGAAAAGAAGAATTAACACTCATCAAAACATTTATATTTTTATTGAACTTGTGACAGTTTCTTTCAAAATAGTTTTATATCGGTTGCAAAGCTTCTTTTAGCTTAATATCTAGTTTAACTTCCACTCATCCTCCATATTCCACTTTTTTATATTCGTATTATAAATACAGAAATAATTGGAGAACAATTTTTACAAACGGTAGACCAAGTGTTTTATAATTTGTCTAATCTAAAATATACAGCATCTTGAAAAAAATTACTTCTTCTAATAATTAGTCATTTATGATAGGGATTTTTTACTTTCGTTAAGGTGATAGAAACGAGTTTCGTTTTTAAGAAAAAGGTAATCTGTGAATACGAAACGAATATACATATGTCGCCTAGGAGATTCATTTATAAAAATATATTTTTATGTTAACAGCGCTCGTATTTTCTTGGTCTGTCAATAGTATAGGAGAACCTTCATATTTAGTTTGGTGTATCTAGCTCTTTAAATATTCGAGTTATCCTTAAAAACCGCCTCAAAATAGATAATTTATCTGTATTATAGTATTGGAAGGAGTTATCTAAAAAAAAACGATTAAATTGTATGGTATACGATTTTAAGTAAAATGTTTTTCAATTGACATATAAAAGCGATTGCTCCACTAAATCTCTTGTTAACGGCAGAGTTGGGATATTTATAAAATCTCTTTAGATTGCTTTTTTATTTTGAAATACATTTTTCCAAATCTTTTCTTATTTATTGCTATACTATCTTCCCGGCAATAATTTGAAGGCCTCCATTTTTCCGTAATTTATTTTCGTATGTTTTTCCATACTATTTTCCATCTCTCTTCTCAGCTATCGCCTTTATCCTTTATCCACCCAGCAATAGAGATACAAAAATGCGGTTGTGCTTGACTACAACCTAACCTAAAAGACTCAACAGATCTGTCTACAGGGTATCGCCTAGTCAGCACTCTCGAATGGAGCACTTTTACTTGTTTAAATTGCTGTTGTTGTGTGTGCAGCTCCTTTGGGCTATTTTCTGAATTATTATTGTTCGACGGCAAAGTTTTTCGCGTTGCTGAAACTTTAGTGGAAAGCGTATGCCTTTCGGGTTTCCTTATTTGTATACCCTGCTTTTTTTTGGGTATTTGTCAAAATAAACTTTTGCTGAAATTCGCATGCGCTGATAAACAGGAATACAAAAAGCAGTTCGTGTTCGGCCAATCAGCAAAAGATCATAACCCCGCATCGGACAATCCTTCAGTTAACTTTAACAGCCCACTCACAACACGCCCATTGGCAACGCTTCATTAACCCACAGACACACATTCGCACACACACACTCACACACAGACACACACACTCTAAACGAATTCCCACAATCCTTGGCTTATGCCCGGCTATCAAGTGGCAGCAAAAGAAATCCCGAGATTCGAGTGGGGCATTAACACTAAACGAAATCCCCACATGGAAACTTGTCGACAAGTTTTTCTCACACACACGAGGATAGATTTTGTGCTCGTTGCCTTAAATTATATTTGGCAGTGGCAAAGGTCGAGTTTAAGCCTCCAAATGAGATTTATTAGCATTCAAAGCGGCATTTTAGCCGCTTTCGGCCGGGCCGATTGGCCATTTTTCATCAGCCCAAACTTTTGTTTTGATTAAATGAAGCTTAACGAGCCGCCCAGGCAAAAGGCAAACCTCGTGGCAGGTAATATGGGCTGCCAACTTAACTAATGAGCTGATTTACAGCCCAACAACACGTCGGTGCCAGGGCCAAGACTGCAGCAGTTCCACGCTGGCCCATGGCCTGTGGCAGCTCGAGAGGCAACGGGTCGTATGACAAATGCGCCCGGCGTTATTTATGGTGACCGCAGGACAAGATGTCCTACGTGTGGTCATTAGGCCCCGTAGGCGTGTCGCCCAACTTAAAACTCTGCGCTTTATGGCACAGTTTCAACGCAATAGGTAATCATATTAAGAATACATTCCCAAAAACTCATGGCAGGTTGTTTTGACTGGTGTGCAAAAGCGTAACCAACTACGAAATGAATTTGCTTTGAATGCAGTTCTCCGTAGATCAGTTCTCAATGTGAATAAGACGAAGTTCGGCGTGCGATTCACTAGCCACAGCAGCCAATGCTCTTTAAGTATTTTGATAATAGTTTAATTAAAAGATATATCTCTAATATATGATGCACATTAGTAAGTCATTCGAATATTTAAAATTCTTTTAACTAAGCATATATATGGAGTTTCCTTAAATATATCAACAATTCTTTACTTATATGATATTAAAATCAGTATTTATATTATGCCCTACAAGAAATAGAACTTTGAGATGGTATAAAATTTTAGATTTTATCGAATTATTATTATGAAATTCTACAAATCATAATTCGAAATGTGGCTTATGTTGCACATCGTCAGACAAGTCGCGAAATGTATGGATCCTACTCCCTTAAAGAGAGCAGGCATTTATTTTAATTAATCTACAAGTTTTTTAAAACCATTTCACACCTATTTTAAATCAGAATTCGAAATGAGGCTCATGCTTTAAATCGTCAGAGAACTCACGCAGGGTAATAATCTACCTCAACCTATAATAGTATGCAATTTATGGGTTGTCAGTAAGAAGTAATAGAAATTTGATAGCCTTTGGCCTGGCCAATTGGCAAAGTGAAGTCTCAAATCCTGACAGGCAAAGTGTCAACCTGAAGCTTGGCCCTGCCCAGGCGCTTGCCTTTGGTCCTTTGTGAGTGTTGTGCCATTCGCTATAATCCCTAATTAGGCGTTTGATATATATGCGCCGCAGTTGGCAGCCGACGAGCCAGAGACGACAACCTGAGCCACAAGCTGACAAATTGTAATTGCGTGGCAAACAAGCGGAAATCGGCTTAGCAGTGGGTGGATTGACGGTGGGGCAGGGGCAGGGGGGGTGGTGGCAGGGGGATGCTGCTGCTGGCGCCTGCCTCTTTGGTTTTATTGAGTTATTAGCCGCTGAAATGCCGAGGCATACTTTCGGGCGCCACGCGACTCTATCTTGGCCAGGCGCTTAGTCACGGCGGCTAATAAAGTGCGGCCTACTTTTCAGGGGTTGCTGTGGGTGGCTGTGGGTCGGTCGTGAGAGGGGAGGGGGGGCTGCTTATTGACTGCCGATGGCTATGCAAAATTTTTGCAGAATGACAAAACACATTCTAATCTCACTTTAAAAGCATCATTTTCCGCATGGGTTCGTCGCCAAAATGCCTGATGTTATGCAATGCTTTTTGCTGTTGGCTTGATATGCGCGAGGGCGGCGTAGAGGGCGTGGCATTACGAAACTCTTTTCGCCATATATCTGTATGTATGCGAATTCTGGCAATTTTCGGCATGTCATTTTATTAAATTCGCTGAAAAACGCGTTGCATACTTTTTGCTGGCCCTGGTTTGGGTGGGAGAGGTGAAGCGGGGTTTACTTATGCGTAACATTGCGTAAGTGCAGCTGTCAAGCCAATGGAGGGTATGAAAGGGCAGGGGAGGTGAAGAGTTGAGTTGTGGAAGTAGCGAAGTGCTGCATATGCATTGCATGGCAGCTTGAGTGTGAAAATTGCTGGAAAATGCATTGAAACTTTGATTTTTTTATGCATGAAAGCAACTGGTCGAAGGGAGGGCGGGGCAAAAGCATATGTGCAAGCATTTTGTGGGTTTGTTTTTCTTGTGGCTCAGAATGTTGTTG